CCAGAGAGAGATACATGGGTTGCAAACACATCTGTCAGCCTTCCTTCAGGAAGGCTGGGAAATGCTTTTACCACTATTGCATTTTATAAGAAAGAATGCAGTGGACCCGAAGCTTTGTTTACTTGTATCATTTTGGGGAAGCTAGCACCTCTACCTAGAAATATCGGGGAAGCAACACGTACCAGCTTTGCTCTAGGGAAAACGTTTATACAAAATATTTCTAAAAACATGTGCTCAGCAGCTCAGAAACAATATAAAATGTAGTCATGTTATAACAGTGAAAATAGATTTACTCAGCCCTTATGACTTTCTGTGTTATAACATGGTCGATAATATAACCTGTCCTTTAGAATTAAGATGTGACCTCCATCAGTCACAAATTCTTACTTTATTGAGCAAAATATTTGAACAACCTATTATGACTGCAAAATTGTGACTTATTTTAAAGGTAAACAGAAAGGTTTTATACAGGAACATTAAAGAATTAATGCTTTAAAGGAAAACAGTATGTAAAAGTGAACATAGAGGCTTTGCAGCCGTAAAGGAATTTATCTGTGACTTGACTGTAATCAAGTTCCTCTGTTAATCTGAAGGGGTATAGGTTGTTGCCCATCAGTTACTTGCTAGCACTTTGGAGATAGGAATTGCGTTACAGCACAGATGAACTGCTCAGAAAGCTGTCTGATAATTCCTACCAGCAAACAAAGAAATTGAACAGAGAGAAGCTCTGTGCTTTGAGAGGATACTAGGTACAGATACTCCAAAGCGCTGTACAGGAAGAAACACTAGTGCTTGGTGAACGTCGCCTCTGCTCACTTCAGGAAGCAATCTTTATCCAGCTGGTGGCTGGCAGCCATCTGTTAGACGCTGGCTGCGTGGGCCCTTCTGCAGAGCCCCAGAGGCAGGCTGGGAGTGAGTTTGCATGGCTTTGGAAACCCGTGCAATGATCTGGTTTCGGCCAGATTTCAAGAGGGTGTTCATGCACCAGCAACCCCAAAGCTAACTTAAAACGTGGCTGGGGCTTTATAATGGAGGTTGAACCAGTGTACTTCTTGGGAGAAGCTGACATTCAAAAAGGTCAGTTGTAGGGGCTGATGTATGGAGTTGTCTGCCCCTTCTCCTTAAGATTAAGACTGCTTTTGTGTATGAGATGGGATAGGCACAGGTCCATTGGTGGAATGGGGCTTTCTGCTTGGCTTCTGGCTCCACCTCTGATGGTGACCGTGGGGTGGTAAAATGTGCAGTGTTTATTTACCATGGGACTGTGTTATCCTGGCTGAGGCACAGGGCTAGACCTGAAAATCCAACAGCATTGTAGGAGTTCTGTGAAGGCTGCAATAGCTGATGTAGCTGGTGTCTTTACTGGCTTATTCTAACGCATTTCTTGATCTGTGATATCTGGAAGTCCAGTCAAGATCATCTGGTGATTCTAGGTAACTAATCTGGTTATGAAATCCGTGAAAGCAGACTTTGCTGATAGACCTGGGGGCACTATAATCCGGTGAATTAATTGTGGAAGTGAAATTTGTAAAGGATGTTGAGTGTGGATCTGTATTAACCTTCCATGACTTGCTTGAAGTAACTCCCTTTCAGTGATACCGTGGTTTTCTGTATACCTGTGTTGGTACAGCTTAATATCAGACCTACCAGAGTCAGCAGGCA